AGACAGAACACACCCTGCAAACCAAAGAGGTTTCCCTTGCATATCCTGCTTTTTGAGAGCACTTGATGACTAGGAAGGGAAGCTGCCCCGCTAGGACACACGTCCATACGTGACTTGTTGTACCTCTACAGCACAATATCTGGGGTATCCTAAACTTGGGAGACTTGCACTTCTTGGCTGCTTGGATGGTGAATCAAAGAGGAAGCCAAGTCAGTGGTTTCAAGCGGCTAAGGAGCCTGCATCTATCTTTGAAGGTTTGAGGAATGAACTCAGGGCTCTAAAGGAAACCACCAGGGATGGTTCACAGGGGGTCAGCTGAGAAACGCCGCGCTGTTGGCTTTTCAAAGGACACCAAAACCTGTGAAGTCTTCCAATGCAACACCTTCTTACAATGCTTGACCCGTTTGGTAGTATGTAAAGAATGAACCAACCATTTAGAGGAGAGAACCCCTCCTCCCCCGGCAAAAAAAAGAAAAAGAAGAACGAATGCAAGAACAAAGAACAAAAAACGGCTTAACACAATTTCAAGTCTGTTAAACCAACGGGTAAGGGTTGATGCTCGAGTAATCGCTGGCAAGAAGTGACCTGTTCAAATTGGAGTCACCAATTGGCCGAATCGCACAACATTAACAGGGTTGATGCGTGTATGTGTCAACATAAGGGGGAATCCACAAATGGCAGTTTTCCTGATTGGGTTCCCTTTAAAAGAAGAACGACGCATCACCCCATGTCAGGCACCGGCAAAGGCCAGCCGCATTCAAGCAGGCCCGTGTCATTAGAAAACACTTGTTTAGCTTTGCGCTGGGCATTATGGATCTGCACACGATGATATGAACCTGAGACAAGGGCTGACCTTCACCATGAGATCCAGCTTCCCCCCTGATCGGTACGCTCGAAAGCCACAAAACACGCGTGGCCCCTTAGGTAATTCTCGCCAATGAGACGACGTGCCCTGGAAGCAGCGCAGGGGAGATGTCGCGCCTAAAATTGGGAGCCCTGGCATCAACCCCTCCGAGTCGCCAGTAGCTTCTCCATCCGTAGCTCGGCTCTCGCGGCTTGTGCTTTCGCCTGGGTCACTTCAAAAGTGCAAAGCGCTTTGGGGGTCTTCTCATTAACATTAGAAGTAGAATTATTGCTATTGGCAACTGCTTTGTCAAAGTTAGACAGCACCATCGGGCTCTTGATATTTGTCCCCTTGAAGCGTCACCCCAAAAGGACAGATTGGCCCAAGGCGATGGCTAAACTTTCAACCATCTGATGGCAATGCAAAGGACTTGTCAGCCTCAATGGCAATGAAGAGAACTGGTGACGCAGCCCGGCAAAGCATGATCAACAACGTCTGCCATCTGGAAAAAAACAACATCCACACCCATCCCTGGTTGGACTCAATAGAGCGTTTTAGCACTCAGGTTGGAGATTCCTCAGTATCACAGAGATGTTGTTTCCCCCAGCTTCAATTTCCTGGCAATTGGATGCCAACAAAATTAACAGCATATCCAGTGGGAAAACATTGATGAGCTAGTTGAGCATTGAACATTTCATGCCTCAAACAGAATGCACTCGTCAGCCTAGTTCTGTTTAAAACTTGGAGTACGCAACTGAACCTTTGGCTCTAATCTCATTCAGCTTGGGGGCTAAAGGGAAATTGCACCATCTGCTATTTTTGCGTGCAAAAAGAAATCACATGGGCAACACATGGGCTCCAAAATCAAGGTGCATACTGTTTGGCTCCCAGCCTCCACTTGAGCCTTGACCTTTTCCTGGACCTTGGTGCTGTTGCAAATCTCCTCCGCTCGCGAGAAGCTCAGAAGGTGGCCCTGAAGAGCCCTGGCTTTTTGTGTTTCGGGGGGAGGGGACACCCATTTTCTTGGGAGGGGAGGGTTCAAAATTGAGACCCTCACCTGTGGATCTCTCTGAGGGAGGTTGTCCGCAATTGACACGGAGTAAGAAGTGGCTGAAGCACCTTCTGGGGCGGCTTTTCCACTCACCCATTCTAGATGACTTGCGCCACATAAAACCATTGGGCGCGGGCATTTTGTTGGGTCCCGCCCATGTCCTCCTGAAACCTATATTTCTCGCCGTGAAGCTGACCAAGCAAACATCTGTGCGACTCGTTCTGGCCTCATTGTTTTACCATGATCAAAGTCAACCCCATTTTCTGACTTTGATAACCCCCAGAAACCGCCAACATAATGACACCCGTCGTTTTCCCGGTTCTTCGATGCGTCCTGCACGATGCGATTCGCCTCGCTCTCGCCCTCGAAGGTCACCAAAGGCGTTGGGACCTCCGCCGCGTCTGCGATCATATCACCTGGTTGCCAGTCGGCCGCAGCTCCCCAACGCGTGTCAAGTCACTTTGGTCATGCACACAAATGGACAGCCATCAGTGGCTTCCAGCAAGACTCCCGAAAGTCCTGAACATGTGCACTTTGAGGAGCCTTGTTCAGATCTCACACATGTTCACATGTGGGCTTAGCCTTCCCCTCGCCCGCATTCCGAGAAAAATGGCTTGGTTGGACGGGACCTTTCTTGGGACCTGGTATACCCCCTTTTCCGTGTATCACCTCTCACCGGAAAGGACACACTCGATCCTTTCCGCGTGCGAGTCGGGAAATCAGCTTGGACCCCCTCCCGTGAGTTTCCAACCACTAACCCGTTCCCTATATCCCCAAAGAAGCAGCAAACACAAGTGATCCGCCCGGAGCTGACAAGTCACTCGCTTGGCCGGCCCAATCCAGGACATCGGAAAACTGTGCGTTCCGGGCGTTGGACTTCTCGCTTCAAGTTGATAGAACGTAGGGACCAGCCCCCAACACCAAACTCACAAATCTGGAGGACATTGACTTCCCCTGGCCAGATTTAGACTCCATGTATAAGAAGCTATTGTTTTCTTTGTCAAAAGGAAAAAGATGGAAACCCCCAAAGGGCAAAGGGGTAGAAAGGTTAGTTACATCTGGCAATGTAACAAGAGTTGTGCCACTGATTCCACCTCTATTCATCCGTGCCGAGTCCGCCCAGTCAGCAATGGAGACAACATGAGGAAAGCTTCCTTCTTGATGTATAGGGTGCTGTGTCAACGCTCTGTCACAACCACTAGCCGGTCTCAAACCAGTCTACCCAAAGCTCCGGTGTGAAATTTTGGAATCACATATTTTGAAATCACGCCTGGGGGGTCCATTTGTTGTTATTTTTTTTTTTTAAATCACGCCTGGGGGGTCCATTTGTTGGTATTGTGTTGTTTTTTTCATCACGCCTGGGGGGGTCCCGGTGTGTGTTGTTAAAAATCACGCCGGGGAGGTCCGGGTGATTTTTCTTTTAAAGTCACGCTTGGGGGCTCCGGTGTTTGTTTTTTTGAAATCACGCCCAGGCGTGATTTAAAAAAGAAGACACTAGGACCCCCAGGCGTGATTTCAACAGAAAAAACACCGGCCCAGAGGCGTGAATTCAACAAAAAGACGCGGAGCCCCAAGGCGTGAATTCAGAAGAAAAAACAAAAAGAACGGCCCACAGGCCTGAATGCAACAAAACAAGCACCGGGACCCCCAGGCGTAATTTCAAAAAAAGAACAGCGAAACGCCCCAGGCGTGATTTCAAAAAACTAAAACACCGGGACCCCCCTCCGGCGTGATTTCAAAAACAAAAAAACACCGGGACACCAAAACAAAAAAATCTGCACCCCCCAGGCGTGATTTCAAGAACCAAAAGAAACGGGACCCCCCCGGCGTGATTTCTAAAAACACACACCGGGACCCCCCCCCCAGGCGTGATTAAAAAAGAAAAAATACACAAACACAAAAAACGACAACATAACAACAAATGGACCCCCCAGGCGTGTTTCAAAAAATGTGATTCCAAAAAGAACAGGATCCCCCAGGCGTGATTAACAAAAAAAGGAACCGAGGAGTTTGTTCTTTGCAACCACCAGTCGCTCACTCACTTGCTTGCTCGCTTCGTCTGTGAGGAAAAAGACAAAATGTTGAATTCAAAATGAGGAATTTCAAAATAAACACGGGTGGTGCAAAATCCAAGAAGAAAAAAAAACGGTTGCACCCAAATCATAGGATCGGGCCCTGCTGCTTGTGTTCTGTGTTGGGGCTTGTCTTTGTTTCCATGGTAGCAGGAGCACAGCTATGCCGCCTTTAAACGCTACCAAGCAACGAAAAAGGAAGCCCTCAAACATCGCCGCGCCAAAATCCATCCGTCCCAGCAGAAATGAAGTGAAAACCCTGCCTTTTCGCCCGCGAAGGGAACCAATTTGTTGGAACCCAGTCGGCTCACCCATCCCCCAATGCCCCAGCCTGGCTCCGGTCTCCGAGTCTCCGAGTCGCCGGGCTGCGGAACGCGCCAAGGCCATTGAGCCAATGGCTCGGGCAAACGGAGTCGATGGCCCTCCCCTGGCCATGGGTCAAAATCCAAATCGTACCCCCAGTGAACATCCCAATCCCCACTAAAATAGACTAAAATGGGTGGTGCACCTACCCCAAAATGGTACCATTGGTTTTGACCCACAGCCCCCTGGCGCCAAAGGTCGCCTTGGGACGCACCCTGTTTTGGGTTGGGAGGTTCATGAGGCCAACCCCAACTCCTGCTCCATTTCCATACCTCCCTATGCCACCAGTGGCGGGTCCCAGGGCGGTGCTCACCCCGCTCAGCTTCTTTTCGCTGTGGCCGTTTTGCATCTGGTCCTGCTTGTGCACGTCCTCGTGGATGTTTATTCTAGTTGCCTACGTTGCCATGCCCCTCATTCTGTAGCTTGCAGGAAGTTATTGTCGTGCCGACGCCTATGGCCTCTTTGCGGATTTTGGTCAGGACGCACGGAGGGACCACTTGGCTGCAGCTTGGCAGTTGCCAACCTTCTTATTGGCGCAAGAGCGAACCAAAAAGAAACCCAGGGGGACTCCTTTGGGTTTGCCTTGCCCGTTCTGTTGGTTTGCATCTATAGGCCGCACATGTCCTAACTCAGACCGCAGCCTATACAAGCCATGAACTCGGCCCGCGGCCGGAACTGCGTCTTCGCATCCAGGACCTTCTCGGAGAGCAAAGGCACCTGAAGGTCGAACTGGATAAAGCCATCCTCGAACTCGGCATGAAATTGGTGGCTCCATTCAAATGCCAAGGCACCACTTGCCAAAATGGCAACCACTAGGGGGATTAGGGTTTATAGACCCTTATAGAGTTGCTAGAGCCCTGGGGGTAGTGCTTTTTTGCTGGTTTTCATGGTAGGAAATCGTTTGAGGGATTGCAAAGAATGGTTGGTTGGGGTGGCTACCTCATTCCCAGCTGAGTGTCAAAAAGTCACCTCTGAAGAAACCACCAGGTCTCCAAAGTAGGTGTGAGCACGCCTGGCAAATGCTCACGTTAAGGAGCGCAGTTGAATTGGCTCAGGTTGAACTGTTGCGGCCACAGTCAAAATAACGTTGCTCCCAATCTTCAACTGATGTGACTTGTGTCTGTTGCTCATTGCTGAACGATTGCGGGTGAAAACAACAAATTGCTGAAACTGCAATCCAGAAAACAAACGCTGGATTGCATACTGGCCAGGTAGAAACCTGGCAGACAAGTACCAAGAAGATCCAAGCGTCCAGCTGTTTTGGTCGACCTCTTTGCCGATTGGAGGTGAACGGCATAACAACCTCCCACATGACTCACTCTTTCTAGTCTAAAAGGTCCAGGGTTGGGTGATTTAGGGGCTGTATTTCCCGGAAGCTGAACGCGCACAGGAGGCTTTGGTCGTACCAACACTGCTTGGCCAAACAAGAAGAGAAGCCTCTTGCCCCACGTTGAGGTCAATTGGGCACTTAGATTGTGCTCCTTCCAGACAAATCTCTCGCTCTCTCTCTCATATCCATTTCGGATGCGCCTTTGCCAGGAATTGGCCCCTCATCTCCTGGGGCCGACTCCGGGCGGCACTGTCGCCGAAAGGACGAGGTGTCTATGTCAGGGGTGCCACACATATTGCAGAAAACAGAGACATGCGGCAAGTGGGCTCTTGAGTCCCTCAACTTGGCTGTTGGGACATTTGTTGAGTTCAAGGGCTCAGGCGCCCTGAAACATCACCCAGAGCTCTTCAGACCTGGGAACTCACTTTCGGGCAGACCAAATGCTGACTTGGGTCGTAACTGGGACCCGTTCAAGACAATGCCACAACGACAACTTGGAGAAACCGTTGCAAAAGGGGACCGAAGCCTTTGGTACCCCGAAAAGGGATGTGTTGTAACGCCTGGAAACTGCTCATGCTGGACACCCCCACTCTTTTCTTGCACCAAAGAGAAACACATGGAACTGCGGCTGAGGTTTCGACTGATGCTTTGGAGCTGATGCAGCCAAACTGCCTCTGAATTCGCCTGCGCCTGTCTTCTGTTTGCTTCTGGCGCTATTGAGTGTGCATGAATGCATATATGTATGAGCACAAACACCCGTAATTTTGCATTTCCTGAAACTACACCTTGGACAAATTCAAGCTATGGTAGGAATCTGATGTTTCCAGCCAGGAGCAAGCCTAAATGTGACAAAAAGTCTTGCACGCCATACGCATAAGATCCTGATGGACCAAGAAAAACAAAGCTGAACATCCCAAGGATCGAGGCCATGTGAAGTTTCTGCGCACGTGGAATTTGTGGTGGTGGTGGTGGTGGTGGTGGTGGCAGTCGCGTTTGTGGTGGCCTCGTTGGTATTGGTTTGCTTTTGATTTCATCGCCTTTCGCAAAATCCGGCAGGGCGCATTCTGTCCTGGTGCATGTAGGCCATCAGGTCGTGCATGCCTGGGGCCCCATCAATGTATGCCGTGGCTGAAACCAGCTCAGCGCTTGGCCCCGGCTTCCCAGGGGGCAACAACCAGCAACTGTCCCCGTTTGGAGGGAAACCCAAGGCTGTTTGAAGCTCGTGGTTCAACCGAGTTTTAAAACAAGGAGTAAGAAGGAGGTTCAAACAGCATGTTTTTTTCTTCGACTCGTTTGACACCCAACGAAACAACTGCTTTGCCAGAGAGTGAAGCCCGGAGTTCTCCAATCAGAGCCACAGTTGAACAAAAACCCAACCAAGTTGGAGGGCCCTTGTGTTGTTTTCAACCGAAGACAAAACAAGTGTCTGTTTTGAGCGTACCCTTTTGGGGTAGCTCAAGAGGTCCGACATTCATTAGGAAACCACTCATGTTGAGGGTTCTTACAAAACCTCTCACCTGGTTGCCAAACCTAAGCCACATGAGCAGCGCGGACCCGAAGCCCGGTGCCTGTTGGTACTACCCTCCCACCGACCAACACGGAATCCAGGAGCACGCCGCCTTTCGAGAAAAAGGTTCCGCGTCAGTTAACTAGAAAGCTTCCACACATTGCCAATCAGTAGAAGCTCCCCCGAGTGTGTAACGGCCAACTTGCTCCCATCCCAGCCAACGGGGCCCTTTCCCCAGCCAAGCACATTATGTCGATGTCAGTTTGGAGGGCCTGAAGAAACAAACCTGAAAGGTCCTCCCCAATTGAAATCCCCCGCTTTACCTCACATCGCTCTCCGAGAGGCAAATTGACTTGCTTGTGCTTACATATGGGAACACCCCCCCTTAAACCATTATAGCCTATCCCCAGGATCCCGAGCAAACTTATCTGTGCTAATCACTTTTGCAGAATCCCGCAATTGTTTCTTGAATCATCCGGCACATGGCCGACACAAGTTGGGTCTCAAACAAACCCCAGTGGATGGCTCCCAGGCTTTGCCGATAGCTGGGCGGCTCAAAATTGGACAACCCCCCCACAAAAGGACAACAGAAACAAAACGGGCGGTAATATATATATATATATATACATATCCGTCTCTAATAAATAAGGCCGCCCGCAGATGGTCAGTGTCATGCAGTGTCTCGTTCTCGCTCGACCAAGGAGGAGCTCCATGGTCATGGCAAGAACGCTGATTATGCTGGCACCCCCCTTCCATCAGCCATCGATCCCACGAAGGGTTACAGCGCTGAAGACCCGGAAACGAATCCCAGAAGTCAGGGCATACCACATCTCCAGTTGGCTGCTCAACTAATCAAAAACCGTTTTGTTTGGGCGAAAACGTAAGGCAGACCAAGCCCTGTCTGTCCACCGGGAAAAGATGGTCTCACCCACTCCGCACTGTGGCCTGACCATAAACCCGGAGGTTGCCTTTTGACTATGTCCCTTTTGCAAAACGGAACCCCTCTATGGGTGAAGAAAGTGAAGAAGACACTCTCTGAACACGCCGGTGAAGGAATGAAGGAATCCGCCCGAAAGAGAAGAAGCCTCTCTAAAACGACTCTTCAAAGGGGCCGCCCGTTATGTTCAATCATGTTGCGACTGAAGCACCAGAAAACCCACTCTAAAATCACCATAACACCACCATCAACAAAAAATGAAGCCTCCACTAAGATTCATAGTTTGTGGGGCTCCATCTTTTCATCTGTAGAAGTAACACCCATTACACCAACCTATTGGTCAAGTGGCGCTGGTCATTCGCTCTGAGCATCTCTGCATGGCTGGTGTGCCTGGCGAGCGAGCCACTGGACATTGGTGGCTCGTGCGTCCCATGGCTGAGTAGCAGCTTGAAAACAAACTTGTGATGGTTGATGTTTACAAGGCGGAAATCAACGCTTTAGCTTGTTTGACTTCCTTTGAAGTAGCCTTCCCCTCCCTAAACGCTAAACCCTAAACCCTAGTTTCCAAGGCTGGATTTGGGGAGGAAACTGGAAAGCCCTCGAAACTGTGGGTGTGCTTCAGTTTCGCTTGGAAGCCAACACAGTGATAAGGCGCCTGAGCCTCGGTCAATGTGTGGAAATAATGTTCTCCGGCATAAAGGTATCCTGTTTCCAATCTTCGCGGACGTGGGCTGAGGACGTGTTCAAAAGGACTGTAGTCTTGCAAAACCCGTCTGTCAGCTTCCAGGATTTGCGGAAAAAAAGCATTGTCAAGAAAATAAAGCAAACGGTAAACCTGCCATTTGAAAACCACGCCAAGATAACTCATGGCTTCCCCTCTTAATTCACTTCAATGGTGATAGAAAGTGCTCACGCATTCCCACAAGCCTGGCGCCAGTATGTTGAAAAAAGTTAGGTGCAGAAGTGGAATGCCACACTCATACTGCCGCCAGCAAAAGGAGAGGCACTCAATTTCCATCAGAGCGATGCAGAGTTACGAGTACTGCGGTCAACTCGAAAACCGCCCTCGAAGGCCAAAAGGCTTTGTGGTGAAACTCCCTTAAAACGCAAGCCTAAAGGACACCTTCCACCCCCCAATTGGCCAATTGATCGATTTTGGGGCAAAACGATGTCACTTTATGTCTAAGCGACTGCAAAAGCAATTTGCTATCAAGTATCACTGATGTGCACTTAGTGCGATTTTTGCAATGATACAAGTGACCTTCCAGGGTCCTTTGGGGGGGGGTTGCAGGCGAAAGGGGAGGCTGGCAAATTTGAGGTTTGGAGGGCAAGTTTGAGGTTCGGAGGGATTCTTGCGGAGCGTGTCACCGTGTGTCACGACATGTCGGGGGGTGGCCAATTGCCGGCACATGTACGTTGAACGGTCACTTTGTTGGGATATGAGCGTGTCACCAGCGTGTCGCCCCCCCCTCGCTCGTTGCATGTGCAATGATCATACATGTCAGCCCAACCCCTCAACTGGATCCCCGCTGGTATCCCGAAGTGAAGGTTCAACAAAGTGACCTTTCACTGCAGATTGATGATGACAAAATATCTATGTGACCACAAAACCATTTTTAAGCAAGTGCAGGTCAATTGCCGGCACTTCACCCGGAACGCCAACTAACGGCCATCGGGGGGGCCTGGTTCATGGCCTTGTCCGTGGGCCCCGATCCCCAAGTTATGTGCCTCTTCTGGTCTGAGACGATGCGGTCCTGGACGGTTTTCAGCGTCCGTTCCCAGGGTTTGCACCTGGCTTCGGCTGGGGGCCTTGGGTTTGGGGGGGAGGAGAAACTCAAAATGGGTCTGTCTCAAAATGGGGACCCTTTGTTGGATGGCTTAGGGAAACCAGGAAACCAGCTGGAAGGGTCCCCAGGGACGCTTTGGATGTCGTGATAACCTCAAAAAGAGTACCCTCAGCAGAACAGTTCAATGCGTATCACCGCAAAAAGCGCACCTGCACCGCTTTGCAGAAAGAAACCGTGTTGAAGTGAGTAGAAATAATCATTTTCCTCGCCAGCAACCTTTGAGTGAGCTCGTTCTACCCCGCAGGCGCGCTGATGGCGCTGCGCAAGGAGGTGCGGAAGGGTCCATGGAGGTCTCAATGAATTTGACCATGAGATCAATTCAAGGAATGTACAGGCACCCTGTGTGCTAAAAACGGGGGGGGGGATGTGTCCTTTGGCTTCTCTTAAGATGAAACCCCGTAAGCAGCTGAACGTGATCTGTAGTTGTTTTCCATAGCTTGGCACCTTCTCTGTCTTTCACTCCACTTTCTACAATCAGGGTAAACAATCATAATTCACAAACCACACACTCATGGAAATGGCAACCTTCCTCGTGAAATTATATATTATGATTCGCCCACGTCCATGCACCCCTTTTGAGACAATTCCGTGGAGAATTTGTCTCCCCCCCCCCTGTCCCCATGACTCCATGGCCACCAGAAAGTGGCACCCAAAAGCAACAATTGTGCAGCATGACCCTTGCCCGGACCTTCGCTCTCAGCAGTTTCCACTATCCTCAAACCATCCCACAGGACAAGATGGGTATATATACCTACTGCCACTGAAGCCTTGCAAGACAGGCCTATGACATTTCGTTCAGTGTGCTTGTTCAAGTTGTGTGTTTACACTGGGCTAAGGGCTGGGCCAACCACATGTTTGACCATCTTTGAAACATTGTTCAAACATCCCGCATGTCAGTTTGCCCAAGGTGCGACTTTCTGATACAGCTGCGCCCCGAGGACCTTTAGGCGGGGTTGGCTGCTCAACACGCGCGTGTGTGTGTGTGTGTGGGTGTAGGTGTGTGTGTGTGTGTGTAGGTGTGTGTGTACGCGTGTGTGTGTGTGTAGGTGTGTGTGTGTGTAGGTGTGTGTACACGTGTGTGTGTGCGTGGGTGTGTGTGTGTGTGTCTCTGTGTCTGTGTGTGTGTGTGTTTGTGTGGTTGTGTGTTTGTGTGTTTGTGTGTTTGTGTGTTTGTGTGTTTGTGTGTTTGTTGTGTGTTTGTGTGTTTGTGTGTTTGTGTGTTTGTGTGTTTGTGTGTTTGTGTGCTTGTGTGCTTGTGTGCTTGTGTGCTTGTGTGCTTGTGTGCTTGTGTGCTTGTGTGCTTGTGTGCTTGTGTGCTTGTGTGTTGTGTGTTTGTGTGCTTGTGTGCTTGTGTGCTTGTGTGCTTGTGCTGGGTGCTTGTGTGCTTGTGTGCGTGTGTGCGTGTGTGCGTGTGTGCGTGTGTGCGTGTGTGCGTGTGTGGTTGTGTGTTTGTGTGTTTGTGTGTTTGTGTGTTTGTGTGTTTGTGTGTTTGTGTGTTTGTGTGTTTGTGTGTTTGTGTGTTTGTGTGTTTGTGTGTTTGTGTGTTTGTGTGTTTGTGTGTTTGTGTGTTTGTGTGTTTGTGTGTGTTTGTGTTTATTTGTTTGTTTGTGTGTGTGTTTGTGTGTGTGTGTGTGTTTGTGTGTGTGTTTGTGTGTGTGTGTGTGTGCGCGTTTGTGTGTGTAGGTGCGGTACGTGTGTGTAGGTGTGTGTAGGTGTGTAGGCGTGTGTGTGTGTGTACGTACGTGTGTGTACATGTGTGTGTGTGTGTAGGTGTGTGTAGGTGTGTGTAGGTGTGTGTAGAGGTGTGTGTAGGTGTGTGTGTGTGTGGGTGTGTAGAGGTGTGTGTAGGTGTTTGTAGGTGTGTGTAGGTGTGTGTAGGTGTTTGTAGGTGTGTGTGTGTGTAGGTGTGTGTAGGTGTGTGTGTAGGTGTGTGCGTGTGTGTCGGTATGTAGGTGTGTGTGTGTGTGTGTAGGTGTGTGTAGGTGTGTGTAGGTGTGTGTGTGTGTGTAGGTGAGTGTGTGTGTGTAGGTGTGTGCGTGTGTGTCGGTATGTAGGTGTGTGTGTAGGTGTGTAGGTGTGTGTGTGTAGGTGTGTGTGTAGGTGAGTGTGTGTGTGGGTAGGTGTGTGTGTGTAGGCGTGTGTGTGTGTGTGTGTGTGTTTCTCCTAAAATGGTTGGTTCTCCTTCTGGTTTCCCCTCCAAATACACCAGTTAGGCTTGCAAAGAGCGTGTCTTTTTCTCCAGTGTTCTCTTTTTCAAAGGGAAGCAAAAGGACGAAAGGGTCACCCTACTTTGAGAACCCAGAAAACGGCGCCAGCTGAGCTCTGGTAAGTTGACAGCCAGCTGCGAGGTCCAAGGCTTGGTCGCCAGGATGTTGACCTTCGCGCGGGTGGATCGCCGAGCATTTTGCACGTACCCTCCCACCAATTCACATGGTACCTGACAGAAGGGTCTTGGAAGATCATGTCCTTTGAAAGGAACCCTTTGGCGGGTTCCATGTTAATTGCCGGAAACCAACAGGGCGCTGGCAACTTGCATCGTTTTTTGCCTGGACACCAAACATTTTATCACCCAGTTCAGCCTCACAGGTTCTAACCTCAAAGGCTGGGGTGGGTGTTCGCCGTCTTTGTTCGGGTGCCCAAAATAGAAACCGAAATCCATTGTAGGGGCGATGAAACATAGATGTTAGTTAGTGCAAGATGGCTGTGCGCTGACAGCCCAAATCCCGACCCCCAAAACAAGCAAATCGCAATGGAAGGCTGAAGTTCAAATAAAAGCCATGCTCAATCAAACATCGTCATGTCTGCGAACCCAGAGTTCGCTTGCGTTGTTCGACAAGGCACGACTTTTTTGAGAACCCTTTCTCCATGGTCTCCTAATTTGTTTGTCTTTCCGGGTACGACTTTAGCAAGACGCTGTAGGACTTTGGACTAACTTTCGTGACGAGGTGCCAGTCATACTAGGTCCTCCAGTAGAGAGAGGTTAGAATAAGGGCACCAACTTGTTTTTTCTGTAGTCTAGTTTAGTAGGGAAACCGAATCTCCCCCAAAAAAGAAACGGTAAAAGGGCACTGGGGGACCTAGACATCGTTAGTGGACGGCAGCTCGGCTCCGGGCCCCGAGATCCAGCGCCATGGCGGTGGGTGAGGGCTCTGGAGGCTTCACCGTTGAGGCCTCCGGGCGAGGCTGGGCTGGGGAGAGGCAGCGATGCGGCGCTCCCGAAAAAAATGAACAGATGGAATCCTAGGTGTCCTTTTAGGGGAGATAGATGGCCCTGGTAGATGATTAGACCAGGTAAACCAGGAATCGTCCTCTATTTTTTTCTAGCAAAACAACCCAAAAGGACACCTAGGGATGGAATGCTGAAAGGGCTGTCATGATGGATCTTGTAGTCTTCTAATACAGACCCCTGAAATGGTGGCGTGTGATTTGTGGCTTCCCAACACGGAGAAACCTCCAAGCTCCGAGCCGTGAACCTCTTGCTAGCCCTGGAGACCCTGGTTGCCCTAACTTCCAGGTGCCACTGGGATTCAACTGGTGTCAACATGGCTTTTGGTTTTCCTGTTGGTTTCCCTTCACACCCTGAAGAAGGTACAGAATGGTCCGTTTCAAGTGAGGCGAAGCAAACGCGGCACGTGTTCTGTTCAAGTGATGTCTCCCTGAAGCATCCAACACGGCAAACATATCTCATATCAGAGCTGTATGCTAAGCAAAGCTCTTGGAACTGTTGATTGGGTTAGTTGGGAAACCAAGGCAGGCCCCTTAAACTACACTCGTTTGCTTTCTGCTCCCCTGCTAAAAGTTTACGTTTTAGTGGCTTAATGGAAAACCCCATTAGCTGGCAAAAAGTTAAAGTCCTAACATCCAAGCAAAATGCACCAAAGAACTGCTGTGCTTCCAATTCATTTGGGCTGCCGTGCCCTTCGGAGTGGCTACTGACCGAACGGCGCGCATGCTCTTAAGAAGACAACAACAGCCCGCATTCATGAAACTCCGCGCGCCGAATACCAGAGAACCGAGACCAAGGCTTCCAATCATTTCTACCGTCATTGTTTGGGCCTGCGTCAAAATAGGGGAACCCCCAATATGGGTGGTATCGTTTTGGTTTCCTTTACACCAACCTAAACTTGGGTGCCCTCAAAACAACACACACCCGAGATGATGGTACGTGATTGTACCAAACGTTGACAATAAGACAGGTCTGCGAGTTAAAGCTCGCATTTGACACCTTGCAACTTGCACCTGTTGAGAAATCACCCTGTACCCCTGGGTAAGGAAACAAAAATACAGGGCCGCCAAAAACGTGGTTTTCCTCTTGGTTCCGTTCAAATCACCCGAGAAGGGAACCCGCAACAAAGAACACGCACACACACACACAAACACACACACACCTACACACACCTCTACACACCCACATACACACCTACACACACCTACACACACCTACACACACCTACACACACCTACACACACCTACACACACCTACACACACCTACACACACCTACACACACCTACACTCACACAAGTACACACACACAGAGGCACACACACACACACACGTACACACACAGACACACAGGTAAACACACACACACACACACGCACACACACACGTAAACACACACACACACACACGTACACACACACACACACACACACGTACACACACGCGTACACACACACACATACACACACATACGTACACACACACACACGTACACACTCACACACACACACGTACAACACACACACACACACACGTACACAGAAACACACACACGTACAACACACACACACACACGTACACAGAAACACACACACGTACACACACACACACACACACATACACACACATACGTACACACACACAGACACAGACACAGACACAGACACAGACACAGACACAGACACAGACACAGACACAGACACACACACACACACATGTACACACACACACATGTACACACACACACGTACACACACGGACACACACGCCTACACACACCTACACACACCTACACACACCTACACACACCTACACACACACACATGTACACACACACACACGCACACACACACACACGCACACACACACACACACACCTCCACGCTCCCTTTTGGTTGGGACAAGGGTTAGCCCGTATCTTCAGACATCGCGCTGCAAAAGTTTGAGTTCACGTTCCTGCAACTCTTCGTTCCAAGAACAGAAACAGCGTACCCTTGAAAAAGAGTATCCTGGTCATCACGTCCAGACTCGGTGGCCGCCTCTTCAGCCAAGGGCGGCAAGCTAAGTCTCTTCTCCTCGGCTTCACAAGCGCGTAACGGGAATCCTTTCCTGTCCCCGTTCAACATCACCCCACCAAAATGTTGGTGTGGCGCGGGTGTTGTTTGACTCACCCCATAGGGAAATAGAAGAATCTTCGGGCCTCCATGATCTTCCGATTTCCCGGAACTTTAGTCATTTCCAAGGCTTGGACAATTCAGAAGGCAAACAAGAGCCTGACGTTTGTGACCAATCCACTGAAATGAGTTGTGTTACCTTCTTAGAGTTGGTCTATGTTGGTCTAGAAGGAAAGCAAATGAGAGCGGACCATTTTGAGGGTGTGCCTATTTCAAGACACACCTGCAGGAACCCATTGAAGTCCCCCCACGCCGTCCCAATCGCTTTCCCACACAGAATCGCAAGATCCAAAAAGTTGTCCCAATGTCGTCTTTTCTGAGCTTCCCCATGGAATCGCAAGATCATGGGACCCAAAGATGATGTGCCTTTCAGAACTCGGAAGCTCATCCCGACAGCTGGTACGATTTCTTTGAAGTGTCTTTCGCGTAGTCTTGCGCTTGCAAAGTTGCGATTTACAAATTGCGGATGCATGCTCTGCGTGCTGCACTTGTACTTGGCTGGCTGGCTGGCAACCTTGCTTGGTCGGCAGACTTTGGATGATCTAGGGCTGGTGCAGTTGCTTGGCCGCTTCTGGCTGTTCAGTTTAGGAGTGCAAAAAGCGGGGCTTGGCTTGCTCATGTCTTCGCATAGGGTTGGTTTAGGCTGGGTTAGGTTCAGCGTTTGGGAGCAGCCCAATCAGTAGCATTTGCCTGCGGGTTTTGATACATCCACATGATCCACCAAAGCCAACAAGTAGCACTTCCTGCGATTTTTAGCGCAGCCACACTCACGATCTGTGCAGAGGGTCGACTGGGCGTTGATTGAGTTGCAGGCAACCCACAGGCAATACCCCAATGCAAAACCGACAAATGTGAAGCTATGGTCTCAAATCCAGTCCTGACCCGGCCAAAGCCAACCCTTTGAGCAACACAGTTCAGGCCCAAGCCCCAGCCTTTCTGAACTAAACTGAAAGAACCCGACAGAAGAAAACAATACCCAGAGCAGGGTGTGCTGATTTACCTTTGTCCACGGAATCCATCCAGAACAAGACAGATTCAAGTAGGCGCGTGTCCAAAACAAAACCGCAAATAAGGAGGCGCGTGGCTGCGTGTGACGCATCGGATCCCTCGCCACATCCTCCACTCTCCCGCTCCCCAGGGTACCCGCCGGAAGGCCCATGTCGGATAGGTGAGCTGGGTTCAACATGGGATCCCTCGTTAACGTGTAATCCGTGGGGTGCAAGGAAAACCATGGCCATCTTGAGCAACTCAGCTGTGCAACATTGAACTTCCACCTCCAGGCTTCCCTTGGGGAGGGCAAAAGCAGTGCGACACCTAGTGCAATTTAAAGTTGCGGCATGCCCAGCGTGAGTCCAAGTCGGAACTCGGGGGGTGAGCTATATCTGCTTTGCCCTGGCTCCCCTTCAAGAAAATGTACGGGTAACCCCTGCAAAACTGGAGTCTCTTTTGTGTCCCCATCCAACCCCACCCCCCCGCCCCCCAGCGTCCAAGTCCCCGGGCCTCTGTGCTCCGAGACGTGCGAATGGCTGGTAGCCTGGCAGCAACCCCGCCTTTAGGCGTCCACTTTTGGGGAACCATACGGGAATGCTTCAAAATATGGGTGCTCCCGAGGCGGTGTTCTCCCCCCCGGCAATACTGTTCAACGCAAAAGGCGGGTTTCCATTGGAAGCTTGATGGGAAACCCAGCTGGCGGTCATCATGTAGGGGGTTCTTGTCCACCAATCACTTTTCAGGTGGTCTCCTACTAAAGTTTATAGCATGGCGTTGTCACAAGGAAACCCCGAAGAAGGCCACCCTCAAAGAAAGACAAACCCATATTATCTTCTTGGTGGGTTGTCTGCAGCGAGAAACCCACCAACCACAAATGACAAAGGGACTCTCAGGGAGGGTGCAAACCATACCTTGTTGGGGGTCACAATCTCTTAATGGCGATCTACAGAAACAAGACTTCTCAACATGAAATGATTCCTGCCATTGGGAAAGCTTGATAATGTCAATTATACGATTATTGAAAACCATAGAAAAGTTTCAATGATGGACAATGGTACATATGACATGCATTTATCGTTTTACATCATTTTATGTTGAGATGATGCAATCCGTTGTTCATTCTTGAGTCAAGGAAAGACTGCCAAACTCGACATATTATTTTTCCTAAAAAATTCTGGGACAACGTTAAACTGTGGTAATGTACATTTGTAAATTTAGTCCATTACATGGAAACTTAATTACTCTCAACAAATATGTTGTACAGATGTATTAGTGTGTATTAATACAGATTAATTAACATTAAACAAGACTGTACATGTACAAAGTACAGTTTGATAGAAATTAAATATGTACTAATGTACCTTTATAAATGTATAAACTATAGTGTTCAAACTATACACATGTTAATGGTAACTAATTGAGATTAGCTAGGGATTTAAAAAGTGACGCTGTTCAACAGGGTTTGGAAAGCATGAAGCGGAATCTGAAAGTGCAAAGTACTTGGGTGGCTTGCCAACAAGGATATAAGCCACAAACTACAGGGGCAACCCCTGTTAGGGGCACAACAATGTAGGCAACGAGCCACTCGTTAAATTCGCTGAATTCTAAAAAGCCACACCTGAAGGGAGTCCTTTTTCGTAACGCACAAGGCAAGCGAGTGGATCTTGAGTCTTGCTGGTCTGAGTGTCCCGCATCGACTCTTGGAACCACCCTACCCCTTGATTCAAGCAAGCCGATACAAAGCCAGGGGACAAGCTGGTAAGTTGGGTGGCAAAAGTGCCACAAAAATGCAGGGACCCTCAAAATAGGTCCCAACATCCTGTCTGAGATTGAAGAGTCTGGAACTTGTGGTTTCCCTGACAACTTTTTGGTTCTCAGAAAGCAATTGAGGATTTTGGGAATCAACCTAGGGATCCCCTTGAAGAAAAACCATCGTTCCCTCATTGCCTACTAAGAATTGGGACACAGAAAGTCAAAACGGGACTTGACTTGCCGAGATTCCCAATGAGAACCAATGGTGATTCTCTGACAAGCAAGTTTCAAGGCACCTGACAAGGTCTGGCCCTGCGTGTAACCTGTCCCTGTTCTCCCTGCCCGTGCATGCCTAGCGGTCTGTGGCGCTATGGGCCTCAGCCACATGGCGTGCCGTCGGATGGGGGTGACCAAAAGGAAGCCAAAAGGATTTCGGCCATGCGTGCAATTACCTGGTCGTGATGTATATATATATATATATGTATGGGTGTGTCTGTTGTTGGAGTTGGCAACGGCTTCAAAGAGATGTCAACAATCAAAACCACCCCATGTGTGTTTAAAAGAAGAAAAACAACATAACTGTTTCATCAGCATTTGGGTCTCCACATACTATGAGGGAGCCCCGGAAATAAGCAGCTTTCGTTAGGCCTTCCTTGAAAGCAGGCGTTTGCCTAAAGACGGAGAAGGGTCGGTGTCCATGTTGGGTTGGATTGAAATGGACACCGAAAGGACACGGAGAAACCACTTGTAGTGGTCCCACTCCTTCTTTGGAAAACACCCACATGACTTGGAGCCAGCGAGATAAACTGCGCTCCAAGGAATGAAGCAGGGGAAAGAAAGGAAGGAAGGCAGGAAGGTAGGCAGGTAGGAATGCAAGGAGGGAGGGCGCGAAGGACGCATGCAAAACAATCCAACACACAACCTCAGTTACACAAGGGGCCTTGATCGAACAGGACAGGTTAAATTTTGGGGGCAGAATCGCTGCAAACCAAAAGGGAAACAACGAGCATCAAACGCTCCAGTTTGGGCAATAAAGTAACAAGCTCGAAACCCGTGCTGACTCACCAATGCCGACCTGTCCACACCGGCCTCAAAAGTGATGACCGCAAGCATGCCTCATTCTATCTGAGCAAATACATTTGGGGAATGAAACTTTGATTGAGAACCCTGTGGTGACCTGGTTTACATGACGGTTTGTGACCACCAGCTATTTTGATGGTGTATGAAATTGAGATTTACAGCCATTTGCTGGCTCCATGAAGGTAGAGTTCAAGCCAGGAGTGGTTGAATGTCCCAAAAAGGCAATTTGAGTCCAGCTTGTGGCAATGAAAAGATCCAACCCTGAATGTGGACCCATCATAGCTATTGCAACTAGCAATCCACTGCAAACTGGACTAATTAAACATCCCAGGCAATCCCATCGCCGACCTACATCCAACACTCAATAAATCCACATTGTTCACTAAAGAAATAATACAAGCAAGCTTTCAACAGCACTCTTGCAGCTATTGCTGGCAAAGCCCTCCTGATTTCAGCAGTTTAACGCTCAGGCTGTCTGTCAGCTGGATATCCTGAGAAGACACACACACACACACACACATGGACGCAAGTGAACTCTCCAATCCGCAAGCCACCAATCCCCGCACAGATCTGCTGGCTCGGACCCAGTGGTGGGGGGGAGCAGCTTTGATCCAAACCCCAAATTGAGTCGGCCTTCTAAATGGGGAACCCCTCCCCCTCGGAAAGGGCGGTTGCCCTCTTGAAAAAAGGAGCCCAACGGCAAAACGGAAACCAAAACGGAGAAGTGCCATCTTTCTTTTTGGCAACATGCCGACGCTTTTGGGGCACCCCGGCTCCATTCGCTGATTGCTTGAGGTGCTACCACCGCCAGCGCTCGCGCTCGCGCTCGTGGCGCTGGCGCCAGTAGGCCTGCAAAGCCAAAAGGACTGACTGGACAAGAAGCATGGATGCCAAATTCGGAGCCTATACTTAGTTACTCTCCCCCCGTGAGCAAACGGGCCCACCTTCCGTAGGATCCAACATGTCCGCGGGTCCAAGGTCACACCAACGACCATCCATGTGTAAGGCATCATTCAACATCCACTGTGATGGAGCTTCCCCTGGAGGTATCACAGAAGTTGCAGTTCCAAGAATCCTGCTCCTGACTATGGCAAATACCCCTTCCCGTGGTGCCAAAGTGGCTGATTCCTGTGGTTACCCCTTGGCACACCAAGAACCTTGCCGACAAGTCCATGGAAGCCCAAACGTCAAGGGGACGGGCTTTTGACCAAGCTGGGTCAGACTTAGACACCCTAAAGAGATACCTCTTGTTGGCAAAGGAATTTTGAGGAAACCAAATTTGAAGGCAAGAAGTACTGCGCATAGGCGTTTCGCGGCTGTACGGTGATAGATGTGATCAGGATCCATAATACGTGTGATACTTTAGAGTCTTTGTCCCACACAAGCAGCGTGGACAAATTCAGAAGCAGCACTTGGCTCCATTCTCAACCATTGTGCGCATCAGCCATGCGTATTCTCAAGACCCAAGAGTGGTGTGAGGAGAGTGACTGAGTGAGCGAAAGCTGCTGCGCTAGTTAGGAGACGCAGAGACTGCTATAGAACCAGAATGTCTGGGAAAACCACAAGAAGACTCAATTGAACAAAAAGACCCCAGAGAAATGAACTTTCATGAAGGGTGAGGTCGCAAATCCTTTTTCAAACGTTCGCAAAATATTGCCCAACTAAATTCCGAAACAAAAGCTCAGCTGGGTGACTCTCAGTTTCGGATCCATGCGAAGTTGCAATCTAGCTACCAACGGCGCTTTCCGATATCAGTACGCAGGCGCATGCTGCGCTTTGGGAAGATGCAAACCAAACTCCACAACTTAAAGCCAACCTTCCAAGAACAGATTTGTCATGAATGAGTCGAAGTAGCTAAGCTCGGACGCACCCAAATAAGCTTGTCATATGTTTACAAAAAGAATGGACAAGGCCATCTCGTAAAAGGTTTGGCCTGGGACCGTCTCTAGTAGGGGCTCCCACACACCTCCATCGAGAGCGCCACAGAAGGGTAGGCCCAGGCCCTTTTCTCATGCCCATGCTTAACCACTGTTGTTGGGCGGGTGGGTGGGTGTGTGGGAGTGTGTGTGTGTGTGTGTGCGTGCGTGTCCGTGTCTGTGAGTCTGCGTTGTGTGTCTCTGTGTCTGTGTGTCTGTCTGTGTAAGTGTGCGGGTGTGTGGGGTGTGCAGGGTGTGTTGGTGTGATTGATTCTGGCTAACGATCCTAGTTTTCAGGGTCCGGCAACTGGTTCAATGTGAACGAACTTTCGAAGCAAACAGAGTCGGTGGTGTGGCGCCATGTACCCAGACTTGAAGATGCCAGCTGCAGCAGCTACAGTGTGAAAGTAGATGACACAATTCCGACCCGTTTGCACATGGGCCCCTTTTGCTTCATTTTTGAAGTGAAAGCAAAAGGAACCCAACAATTTCATGAGGGACCGACTCCTAGTTTGAGAAACATCCAGGGCAAATCTTGGCATCTACTTCTTGACTTCTTTTCTCGCCCGCAAGCCTGGCGCTCAACGGCGGCTCCGGCTTTGCATGTTCCGGCGGCTTGGCCGGCGGACTGGGCGTGGAGCGAACTTCCGCAAGAGTTCTTCCATTCGAAGCACATCTTCGGTCAGAAACCCACATGCTTAAGCAAGCGTTGGGTCATTTCTGCTCCTTTCCAGCAAAATCACTCACCCTTGGGTGTCTGTGTACCTTGGGCCCCAAAATTGGAACTCTACAATTGTCCCTTGAACTGGGTCTGGCTTATTCGAACCGTTTTAGGGTTTTCCTGAATTGCAGGGGGGTCCAGCATGATCGGATGCAGTATAGAGTTCACCATACTTCACCAAAGAACATGTTCCCCAAAGGACGTTCTTTGGGCTCGCGTCACAAAGTCTGGGAGACCTTGGGCTTTTTGTATGGGACAGCCCGGACATCTTCCATTCCAATTTCGTCGGATTTCCATTCCCATTAGGTTTCCGGTCCCCAGTCCCCAAAACTACTTGATAATGAGCTTCGCTGATTCCTTTGGGGCTGGACTCCCATCACGAGACAACTTGTTATCACTTTGAAGCGGAAAACTTCTCCCCCCTCCCGCCGCCCCAAATGTCCAAGTGTCGCTCCCAACCCCTAATCGGCACGGTCGACATTCAATCATTCGGTCCAAGCAACCCTAAAAAACCACTTCAAACACCTGTTTCTTTTCTGATGCCATGCCCAAAATCCCCACCCCTGAAAAACCTGCGAAGGGCAGCACAGGAGGTCTCATGAACCAGGCATTCTTGACCGTGACCATTTCCCCGACCATGCCCAAACGCTTCCTTTGGGCCCTCTTTCCGCAGTCATGGGCCTTGGGTAAGGTAGAATGTGTCTCAAAATAGGGGAACCCCTCAAAGGGTTTTGCTCTAGCAGTCTCATTCAAGCAACTCAAACAGGGTAGCATTGAAGTAGGAAGGATGGGTTTGGAAGACTACCAGCCTTGTGAAAAAGCCCCATCCCGATCCCATTGTCAGCTTCTATTGTTGGAAAATGAGTAAGCATTGACACCCCCCATGCTCTGCCAGCAAATGCCTTAGGATGTGGTTGAGACCCTTTAGGTAAACCATGTTTGTTGCAACCAACATGTGTTCTTTGAAGAGACTCCTTTCAAGTTGATTTGGAGAGAAACCAAAGGAAGACCACCCCTATATGCGAGCATCCCCATATCTCCTGAGAGTTACCCCCCACAGTGTCATTTCTGCCCATTGTGCCACATACGAACCAGCATTTCCGGGGTCCCCATTGCCACACATACCCATACCTCAGCTCCAAGCTCCTCTGGAGGCGAGCTTGGAGGCCTATCAGAAAAGCGTTGCAGGAAAGATGCGGTTCTCTACACACTTCGGCAACCCCACAAATGATTCGTTTCTGTTGGCGTCCTCTTTACGCAAGCCAAAAGGGGTTTCCTTTAAAAAACAAGCTAAAAGGTTTCCTCAACAAGACTCCCATGTGGGAGTGGCTCAAAATTGGACCCCCTTTGGGTTTTGGGGAGAAGCCAACCTTGAAGGGCTCCCGAAACATATACAGGGCTAAATACTTACAACGATTTCACCCGAAAATCCAAATGAAAAGCAACCATTGCGATGGGGTCCATAGTACAAGGGCTGGATGAAATCATGACGTATCTTGATTTAATGGTACCCCGCAACCACATTCTGATGTTGTAAGCAAGTACACTTCGAACCCCTGCATAAAGTCAACTGCATTCGCTAACTGAAAGGGAACATGAAGGAAAACCAAAGGCTAAGCAAGTAAAACACTTAGCCAAGTCTGGTAGTGTACTGTGCTTTGTTGACGTGTGATCCAGTTCTGGCCTGTCGGCCATGGGTTTGACAGGACTCGTGTGCTCAGGGATGCTGCTGACCTGTACCCATAGCTGGCATGGTACGTTGCAACAATCACGGAAAATACCTGGATACCCCAGGCCGCCTGCATAAGGTTCGGATTGGGACCCTTTACAAGTTATCGGGGTCGAACAAACCTCGTGTCGCAACTCTCGGTCTCCAATTCTGACCCGCCCCCCCCTGGCAGAAACACTCACAGGCCTAAAAGGGGAGGATAAGAATCACCACAACTTGTGGGGACTACAAAGGAGCTATGTATGGGTGAGGGTCCCTTTATTTGAGCGGTTCAGGGCCTTTCAAACTGGTCCTTTTTGAGGAATTCAAACACATCTTACCCTCTGCTTGGTTTGGGAAACCAAGCCCGAGACCACGTCGGGGTCCCGCCTGGGTGCGGCCCCCCGCCGCCGCACGGACACCGGGGGCACCTCCTGTGGCGGGGGAACCCGCTGAGACTCCTAGAAAAGCCCCAAGCGTTTTTTTTCTTTTTTCCGCCACCATTGTCTTCCAAAGATGTCCGGGGAAGTGCGGGGAAAATGAACGAATACCCCTGAGTGTAGCCCTGAGAGAGGCAGCACTGGATGGCTGGAGAAGCTGAGAGCCCAGCTAAGTTTCGACGCTGGCAGAGCCTCAGCCACGGTGAGAGCAAAGCATGGTGGCAAAATCAACCCCCCAGACCTCGCCGGGTTTCCCACTAGGAACCACACCCATTTCGAGGTTCTCCCCAAATAGGCGTCAGGGAACAGCTGGAGTCACTCTTGAACGCATTAAAATGAGTTTTGTCTTGTAACGGACAGTTCCCCAAATGGGGCCCGGTGTCCGTCTCCCTTACAAAGGACACACACTCACAACAAAAACAAGTACTGCGCCTCACAAAGGAAACACCCAAAGTAGGGCGTCAGCCAAGGCTTTTTAACCACGATAGGCCCGGGCGAATCTGAACCCGTATTATCCGGGGACGAGATATACCTCTTGAAATCGGGGACCGTCACACACGTTGAGTTTAGACTGGTTCCCCCTCAAGCGATGGGTCGCATCGCGAAATGGCAGGCAGGGGGGAGGGTTGCAAGAAAAAACTACCTCGTTAGCTATTGCGCGTAATTCAGCCAACAAGCCTTCACAACTCATGCTTCACCAAGCTGTAAGCGGCCCAAACGGGGGCTGTCGCAAACCAAGACCGTGGCGAAAAGGAGAACTGCCCTATAATCATTCTACCACCCACCCACCCAACCCAACCAACCAGCCAATCAACCAACCAACCATGGATGTTTCCAAATAATTAGGCTACCCACAGCTTGAGTCCCCCCTATCCCGGAAACCCTCCCATCGGGGCATGCGCCATCGCAACATCATGGCTTCTGGGTCCACATCAGGACCTCGGGGCGGCATTCAATCAACAGTGGCTTAGAAGGTGATGTTTAAAAGAAAGGCAAACAGGAACATATCCTCACTGCATTGGTCGCCACTCTGAGGGGGAAGAAAGCTCCTCGCAAACAAAAACAAACACATGGGAAATCCCCACACCAGCTCTGTACCCATGGTAAGAGATTGACACCATCGGTCAAATGAGCTTCGGTGCAATCAGGATTTACCTTTGACCCCCCTAGAAACCTTGAGGCTCTTCTGATGCAACTGTGCGAGATGTGATGCCCGATCTGCGGGAAAAGGGTCAGGCCCAAGATGATGCAAGATGTTGCAATGCTGACCGTGGATCAATCAACCTCTCATCCGTTGGACGCTAGTGTTCCCCTGGCAGTCTTAGTTGCTCAGTGATTGGAAACTCGACGACATGCCTTGCACAAGGTAACCCCTGATAAAAGCTTGAAAGCCTTCACTAACCACACATTGTCAATCACGGTTCTAAGCTATTTCTCCCGTTGAAAGCCACCTGCAACCTTCGGGCACGTGACTGTGCTTTGCCTCACTTCCTGCAGTTCCTGCATCGGGTTTCATAGAAGCGCGGCATGCGCTCTTTCGCACCCTGCGTTGGAGAAAGTCACCCTGCAACCTTACGAAATGGGCCGAGCCTGTTTACATACCGAAAAGCCCGCTTGAGATAGCCTGAGCGTCGACTCAGCTGTTTCTGCGAGTGTGCGACTGGGGCATGCGCCTCGTGCAAACAAGGCTATGGCCCTCCGGATTAACCCGAAGTTGACTAACCAACTTTGTGCATGGACCACACGATGTCCGGTTCCCATCCATGTCCTCGTATTTAAACGTCAGGCCCAATCTCAGGCGCCCGGATTTCTTGACATTGGCTGGAAAGTTGCCTCAACAAGTTCAGAGTCAGACCCTACAACCGACATGCAGATGAAAGATCCAGGCAAAACGGACGCGCTGTCTGGCTCAAAACCAATTTGCCTCGGCCCAAGGCGGCCAAGGGCGCTCAGATCTCTTTTCCAAAGAGAATTTTCATCCTGTCCGGCGGGATTTTAAATTTTCGTGGCTCTTCCGCTTCCATCTCCATGGGCAATCTTTTGTCGCAAATGCGCTGGGAATTATGGGCGAACAGGCCCACCCTTCCCAGGCCTAGCGACAGCCACCTAGTCCGACCCATCTGGCGCAGGCCCACCCCAACTCACTTGCTACAACCCACCCCCAAGCAACCCGCAACCCAGCCCGGGAGCAGGCCCAGCACCCCACTCACGCCGGCACTGACTCTTGGCTCAATGACTCACTCCTCGTCCTATGCATCGCCTTGCCCTTGCCTCGGGGGATTCCTGCGCAACTTCGGCCCATGACATCAATTGCTCCAACCACGCCAGAACCTGTCCATTCCTGAATCGCCACTTGACCAGCTCTGCTGCTTGCAGTCGAACCACAGACGCTGCGCGCTCGGCTGGGCCGAGGCGGGCAACGCGCAGCGTTTACAACAACAAATGCCAATCCAAGGAACCTTCACCATGGGTGAAACAGTCGCCCCCTCCAAACAAAAACCAAACAGAGGACGCTACAATTTGGTCATGTGAACGCATACTTAGCATACAAACTTGAGCAGAGCCCAACATCCATTAACTCTTGGTTTTACCAACGCAGTTCTGAAGGTATGTGGGCCGTTGAATCCCTGTCAGCCGAACAACCTAAACTGACCAACCGAAATCGATTTGGGCTGCTCATTGGGAGAAAGCAGCTCCACTGCGATCCGACTGGGCTCCCAGACCCCAGGACTGCTGCACCTCACGAACGGATGGCCATAGAGTGAGGTCCTAAGAATGAAGGTGGTGGAACACAAGCGTACAAGTACTTATACAACTGTATGCAAGACATCGCCTGAAACATGCTAAAGGGCACCATGCCGAGTTGGGCAGTTGAATAGCTCCCAATCCGGTTCCAATTGCTTGACAAGTCGCTTCAAATGGCAACGCGGTGAGGCTCATTGCGGGTCCGAACCCTCTGCAAAGGCGAAACAACAAGGACAAAACAATGTCACCGAACGTGGAAATGACCACTTCTGCCATACCACTGTTGCGCCAAGCCATGACTTATCTGAAACGAAGGATCTACAGAGAAGGGGCCAAGGCTTCAGCCGGTAACATATTGGAGTGTCTGTTTTTGAGGGTACCCATTTTGGTGCTGGTTCAAAAGAGAAATCAAAGGCAAACCAACCTCTCTCATAAGACACACCCATATGGACCAGTGAACGCAAGCATGGTCCCTACTTGGTGATTCTCTTGCCCCCTTGTAACACAAACAGCCATTTTGAATATGGAGAGTGCGAAAACTGTTATTTTGTCAACAGCGTTGGTATACAACACAACAAAAGACAGTTAGGTGAAAGTAGATGGCAAACCCTCCTCATTTATACAGGGTGCGTTCGTCCTGTTTGCTCACAGGCAGCAACCATGGAAGTCAAGAGGATGTTCTTTCAACCTCCCCTTCTCTATTTCCAACATTGGAAAGAGGGTAGGCACCCTTCTTGCGCGGCTGCAGTAGGCAACCAGCAGGATTCATCCACGACTTTGGTCAATACTTTGGACACAGGCCACTTGACCAAACCCCCTGTTGGCCATTTCAATACAAGCTTCCGGAACCCGGATAAACACAAAGAACACCCGCGGGCGACGTGCTCTTAAGTTCGCTCGGCAATGAATTCAACATCTGGGGCTAGAGTCAAGATGCACTTTGCAAAGCTGCACGCTGCCAGTGACAAATGCAGCACAGTGGATAACACAGGCGTGTGCATGTGGGTTGGGGTCTGGAAAAACACACACCTCTCATCGCGTTTGGTTTCCTTTGGGGAAATCCACAGCTATGCAGTGTTTGGCACCCAAACTCAAACCAGGGCCCCCGGAATGCTCGATTTCCCTTCACTTGGCCGGCTTGTCAACCACCAAACTAAGCATCGGACCCACCCTTGAAGGGTCACGAGATCTCCCGCCCAACAAAATCAAAAGGCTAGATCCTGCCAAAGAGGATGCGTTGCACTCCCAAAAATCAAAAGTCTTTGGGTGACATTTTGATTGAAGCCCCCACTTTGTCTGGTTGAGGAAAACAACAGATATCCAGCCATTTTGTGGGTCCACTTCCTGCGAGAGAAACCCACATCGGCCGTCGCAAAGATTGCGGTGCATTCCAGGTGCGCTAGTAAGCCATCCAAACAGCGGGGACCGCCCGATGTTTGAGCCCCACAAGCCCAGGGAACCGGCACAAACAACGCAAAAACACACCCTTCAAATCTGGTGCATCCAAAAAACCTTTCCCCCAAAAAACTAACAGAATCAGAACCTTTCCAGAATTCCAAGAACCTTTCCAAAAACAAGCAGAGCCACCACACACCACACGCAGAAGCCAAGGGAACCCTACCCTCTGCGACCGTCGAACACACGTTCCGCGCCTCGGAGGCCATGGCCTCCAGGTGGGGCCCCAGCACCTTCCGCATGTTGGCCTCGGGGAATCCGCGGTTCGGCCCGCGCGGCTCGGCGCGGCCGAGTCGAGTCGAGTGAGTCGCTGAGGGAATTGTTCGGGGAAATGGCCATGGATGTCAAAATCCAAATCGGACCAGTGAAGATCCCAATCCCCACTCAAATAGGTTCTGAAATGGGTGGGGAATTCACCTACCCCAAAATGGGATCCCATTGGTTTTTCAAGCAAGCAGAAGGAAACCCAAAACGCGGGAACGAAGATTCCTCCAAACGCGGATCCTGGGTTCACAGCCGACATCTTTTTCTGTAGTCTATGTTAGCAGGGGAACAACCCTCCCCCCAAAAAAGGGTAAAAGGGCACTACTGGGGGACCTAGTTGTAACCTCAAGTGGCGGTTGTTTCAACGGACGCCACGCTGATCCAACTTTTCCCTGATTGGGGACACGGCTGCGCTCGGGAGTGGGGGTACGAGACTACCACAGGACAACATGTGGGACATGAATGTCAGAAATGACATTTGTTTGTCAATGTTTATGTTTGTCCGAAATGACCTTGTTTTTGTGCTATGCAATGGAGATACCACCGTTCTGCGCCCTCGTTTTGGAGTTCAATGGGGTGTCAGCTACAGCTGTTTCCCCTACTAAACGTCACACAATACGTTTGCTTCTGGGGATTTAGTGAGCCCTCAACACGCCTGCAACTGCAGCAAAATTGCAAAAGAGCTCCCAGGCACGACCAAAATTTGAAACCCCAAGACCCATTGTTCCACAACGAGGCTTTTCAAAGAGTCCTGGGCTTGTGGCGAACAAACTGACAGGACTATTCCGGGTATTCAATGGGGGTCTGTGTTTCTTACATGGATGCGATAAGCCTTCCCATATAAACCGTAGACTGTAGTCCGTTGGTCATGAAGCCAGCCATGCTCGGTTCGTTCGGCAAAGGCGCTGACGAACACATCACGAACAGTTCAGCCAAACGGCAAACTTGGCCATCTTCTTAAACTTGCCTCCCAGTCCACTTTGTCTCAACCCATGCTCCAGCATTCCGACCCTTGGCGCGCCGACCGCCCATTCGGCGTCCGTCATGGCAGCGGCCTGTGAGCTGAACACCAAGCGGGTACCCCCAAAATGGTTGATCTCCTCTTTGGTTAACTGTAAAGCCAACCCAAAAGGGGGGGGGGCCCTGCAAAACAAACGCACCGGAGCGCGCATTCCGTTTCTGGGAATTATCCTTCGGGTTATGCTTTCACAGTTCCTGTTTTTTTGGAGGGGGAGGGGCAGATTTGAGCCTCGTCAAGCATCACCACCAAAACAAATCCGAGCACGCCACCGTTCGTATGCATTCCCTCATGACTCGTGGCGGATGAATGTCCTTTGTTTGACACCTGTAAGACTTGTTCAACGGAGGGCCCAGGTCAAATTCTGCTTTCGCCCCCCAAGCAAGTCAAGAAAACATCTTTGGATTATGGTCGATATGCATTGACCTTGCTTTACCCAAACACAACAGAAGCCAAATGTCCGGTGGTTTTGCAAGCCCCTTCCTGTGTCAGAGTGCCCTGCCTGCCAGACGGCGCCCAGGCAGCTGGAAATGGCTGCAAGATTTGATAAGAGAATCGACGAGGCTTTGGCGGACTGATCTGACCCCATGCAACAACTGGATGCTAAACAGCGGGTCTGAAGAAATTAAAATAATGACCCATTCCCATGGGAAAGGATGCAGGGACTTTCTCCCAAAAATCCACTTGGATGCTGAATGGGGCCTTCCTTAGGCTGTCTCGCACGCGAACGCCTGTCAGCCGAGGTCGGCCTTTGCCTATGCCTATCCTTGTTCTAGGGGTCTCTTTATCTGCGACAAAGGACAAATACACCTGCACGTCCATTTCTCTCCTAATGGTTGCTTTTGTTTGCTTCCCTTCCAAACCAAAAGGTTCCCCCAAGCACAGCGGTCGTGTTCTCCAAGCAATCGCTTGACTTGTGAAGCGCCGCGGTCGAGCCGCAGTATGTACAAAGGGGCGGCCATCGTGGACCTCTTTAGACCCGTTTGAGCGGCACAAAGACGTCTCTGGGGAAGGTCCTCACCTTCGAAGTGCAACAGGTTGCTTAAATTGGTGTTCAAACATGCTCAAACAAAAGGTTGGCCCAAGATTTCTCCACGGGTCCAAAAAGGGCCCATATCTTTGACAACCCTGCCCCATTTGGGGCTTCCTCTTAAAGCGAGGCAGGTCGCAGGTCACCCTTGACTGCTCTCAAAGAGAAAGAATCATCTGGACCGGGTGTCAAATAAAGTGCTAGAATTGAAGGTGTCCGGTGTTGGCTTCAATTCACCCACCCTCTTGGCCTCCTTTGGAGGAATCATGTGCTTTTTGGCCGCTATTCATTGCACTTTCCGGAGAAGAAACCAAATTGCCCATCCTCTTGCGGCTCCGTTTCAGGGAAAACGCCTCAAGCTCCGGGGGCGGGGTGGTTTCGAGGAACCCACGCATCCACTTGTGGCAAGCAATGTGACTTGCCAAGATTCTTCAGGGGTCCAAGGATTTTCTCTTGCTGGGTGATTCAAACAATTACTTGTAATTGTGATTCGCGATGTTCGTACGACTGTTGGGTTGGGTGATGTTTGAAGGGGACACTCAGAAGTCCAACATGTCAATTTGTCTATTGGCCAGTGAGGACACACTAGCTACTGTCAAAATATGATGTTAACGTATAATACAGTATAGGAGGTGGGAAAAGAGTGTCCCCTGAATGTTGAAATTGACATTTAGAGCGTATGCCCCCTATCTGGTCCCTCGCAAGCCTCACATAAGGGAAACAAAAGGCTGGTCTCCAAATTGTGAAACTGTGCCCCCCCCCCCGTGTATCTTTCCGTTTGGTGTCCCGTTAATCAATACCAAAAGGATGCAACAAGGACCCCCTCAACATAAACACCCCCCCAAATCGAGCTTGGCTGTTGCCCCCCAACGAAGTTAATATCTTTGATTCCGGCCCAGCTGTGGGTCAATGGTACCCAAACTGGCATATATTCTACCCAAACTGGTACCACCACAGAGAACACACTGGGAATCACGAAAACTTGCGGACGCCTGACCATATGGCCATGGGTCAAAATCCCATACCCCCAGTGAACATCCAAATCCCCACTAAAATGGGGGGTGCACCTACCCCAAAATGGGATCCCATGGGTTTTGAGCCAGAGCCATATGTGGAAAAGACTCAAACCTGCGTAACCCTGGCGGTTGAATCTTGAGCAGCTCAACGGACACCTGCGCACAAGTCTCACTCGACCCACCGCTTGAGTCCTCGGCGGACGGAAGCCCGGAAACCCGGTCAGGGCGGGGGCGTCGGTTTCTTTCTGGCTTCCCTTTGAAGTGGATGGTTCCCTGCAGAATCGCTTGAACATTTCTGGTGTTCGGTTGGCCTCCCTTGGCAACGGGTGGTTTCACTTTGGCTTCCCTTCAGAAGCGGATTCCCTGTGCGGTTCCTTTGAAGCAAGCCCAACACGGCAAAAGAGACAACCCTGTGTCCTGTTGCTGACTCCCGATCACCTTTGCAGGGCTCGAGCGGGAAGTCCTCCATGTTCCGCTAGAAGAAGATGGGGCGATTTGGGTCCATCGGAGACTTGCCATCTTTGTTCAAGAAACCAAAGGCCCCCTAGAGCTCCCCATGGTTCCCCCCCAATCAGGACCCAGAAGCAAACTCGAATCCTTGATTTGGCCCGAAAGGTGATGTTTGAAAGCACCAAACATGGGAACCTTGCCTAAAGAGAGGTTTTTGCCTGAACAGCTTCTGGGGGGGTCCACGCACCAATCCTGGGTGAGTGCTTCTCATATTTAAGCTCGTAGAGGGGTTATCAAAACTAGGCAAAGCCTGACCCCCCCCGCACCATTGTACCCACAGAAGAACATGTATAGAGGAAGGGACCCTTTCCAAGGAGTGCCCTCCCCTTCCATTTCTTGGGGGCGAAAACCCCTTCTCACTTCCCGCGCGGATTGCAACAAAACACGGTGACACAGTGACCGCTAGAGTGGCCTTTTTTCCAGAGACTTGGGAAGTGAGTGTTCGTGCTCAAGGGGTCAAAAGACAAACGTCCAGCATCTTCCATGGAACGAAATGAGCTATGGTCCATGCTCTGCGAAAGATATGGGTGGGTCCTGTTCCTTTGTAGTCAGTATGTTTTGGGGTTTGGGTTGAAGAGCACATAAGGGGCCAACATTTTGCTTCAGGATCATTCCAAATCCTGAGCTAAGCACAAGCTTCAAGAATGGACACATTCTGTGCGGGGGGGGGGGGAGATTTTCCCCCTTTTTTTAGACAAGCTTGCCATACAATAGGCTCAACAGGCAAGCCGAGTACACTTCAAGCAGCAACTACAACTCCAGCAGTCAACTGCCAATTGCACTCCATGGCTAGGACTTGCAAAATGTTGTCGACGTGCAAGCAAGTGCACCTAAACAATGCAACGACATTGGCAAAGATTGCACAGATTCTTCCGCAAAGCTCAACTGAACATAACTGATCAATAGTCTGCTTTGATGGGGAAGGCGCACACTTCCAGACACAAATCATTGATATGTAAGTTCAGGCGACCGATCTCGGGCCGCGTTTTTCCTTGCAGCCTCGGCGGGCGGCACAGCACTCTCCCCTTCAGCGCCAAGGTCAAACTTCAAATTGACCAGCAATGCAGAGACCCTTTGCTGCTCCAGTTCCTTGTTATCCTTACAACCGAAGTGAATGTAGGAGACCCTCATTGTCTTTCACTTTTTGTCCTAGGGTCCACCTTCGGCTTAGGGCTAAAAGCTGTGCCGGATCACATCTCCACATGCATCCGCCCGTCCGCCGACACCGCCATGAGCCCGGACGACGGCAGCTTGGGAGAGGGCGAAGAATGGCCAGTCACTGAACCATCTGCGTCCACAACCAGCGCACTGGAGCCTGCCATCTTTCAGCAACAGCTAGGTGGTACCCATTTTTGGGGATGCCTTGAGGGAAGCAACAGGAGACCAATATTTGTTGGACTCCTATCTGTGTGTTCTTTTGGGTGCCAGTAAAAGAAGCCACATGTCTACCGCGTCAGTTCCTCGACAAAATCAAGACAGCTCGCCTAGGCAGATGGAAGATTGAACACGAACTGGCTGACATGGGTATTCCTCAGAGTTGGTAGTTACTCCGGCTTGCAAACGTTGGCTTCCTCCTTCCTTCTGATGTTTCTTGTGCGGCAATTGCTTGTATCATCCAGACTTGGCCCGCATCGGAAACACACACAAACTGCTTACGTTCAGAGTAAGCCTATCCTGATATACGATATTGTTTTAGTTTGACCTCACAAAAAGATGTTTGACCCACTATGCGTGAGACTTGCCAGTTTCCGGTGGGGTTCCTTTTTGGTAGTGTGCCATTTGGCCGATTCCCCGTTCGAGGAAAAAAGGAGACATATACGAATGCAGGCTATTGGTTGAGCAATCGAACAGAGAAATTGCAGACCAAGGCATTCCTTTTGATGATGCTAATATTCGCGTTGGGAGACGATTACAAGTTCGAATGGTTTTTTGACAAGAAAGCCTCAGATGGCTTCCATTGAATGTACCTGTCAAAGCCTTGCTTCAGGCAACAGTTGAGTCATAATCAACACCTGGCATTCAAACTGTGTAACCAAACCTATGTAGAGAACTAACAAGGCAGCCGCACCTATTCATATTCATGTTTTAGACTATCCCTTCCTAACCTTCAACTAACCGGGTTTGAGTCGTTGATTGTGACTCAGTTGATTTACCAAGTCGGGTCTAATTTTCTCAAAATGGAAACAGTGAATATCCAAAGTGCCCTCTTGCACAAGTAGATGGCACTGGTTCATGAAATACCGTAAAACACGTGGAACCCCAAGCAACAAATAAGACAGGACACCCGTATGCTTCTGAAAAGGTCAAGAAGTATTAGCATGTTTAACCGAGCCAAGCTGAAAGGACACCTGTGGATGGAAAAAAATGAATTTGCACCAGAACACCGCCTACTAACAAGAAGTGGACTTTGTCCATCAGTGTGGTGGATCGGTCCACCACGCTTAATTCAATATTGGTAGTTGTCCTGTAAATTCATGCCAAAATGGGTTGCCCGCAAAAAGACACTCACAAGCTACCCTCCCTTTGGCCTCTGGCCAGGGTACACCACAAATGATACTGTGCGATTCTGATCTGGAGATCCCAGGTGAGCTCAAACACAGCAACCTAGGACGCCTAGTGTGGATGGACAAAATCAACTTTGGACCTGGTTGCTTGTCCCGGTACTAGATTTCGTTCACCCAGTCCACAGTATCACCCCCTCGCATTGGCAAACGTGAATCTCTTGCAAAAAGAGAGTTGTAGCTCAATCGAAGGGTTTCAACAAACCTCAGAACCCCCCTTTGGAACTTCAAGGAATCAGTAGAACTCATTGGGCCCCAAGCACAGGCTCCCTGGCCTTTGGTCACCATCTGGGCCGAGGTCTGCACGAAGGCAATGCCAGCATCCGCGTCCTCCTTGCCCAACGCCGGAATGAATGGCTGGGTTCAGGGACAAGTTGCTTGGAAATTCGACCTGCACATAAACATGCATATATACGTAAATACGTACCCTCCCTTCCTCCCACTAACATGCCACCTGATAAAAGGGGCCCGCAAAGGAAGCTTGTCTTCCAGCTACCCTCCCGCAGGTGCCACGTTAGTGGGAGGCAGTGTATGCCGTATAATATATATTATGTATGACGTGTGCTATGTATTTTTTGGAAGTTGGAATGCACCAACTGTTGATTTAAATTTGAAGCATAGCACCACCCACCCACCACCCACCCCAACCAGACTTCTTTTTCCCACTACCTCAGCTCGCCCAACCCGAAGTTACCTAGCCCCCGCCGCCCCGGCCTTGTTGCAAAATGAAGAACCTAACAGGCGACCGTTTCGGATGCACAATCTTGAGAATCCATTTTGCAGAAACGCATCAAAGCATCTGTATGTCCTGTTAACCCAGCGGCGGGAGGTATGCAAGCAAAAGCCATGCAAGATTGCCACAAGCTCTTAGCCCTTCCACGCCTGCATCAATCGCGCCAGTTTATCCAGATAAAAGTATCTTGTTCTTCAAGCAACTTGCTGCGGGTCCGTGCTTGATATCAACATAATGCAAGCCTGTCTGCCACATACTCCAACACACATTTCCCGTTGGTTGGTCTTGCAGAGTCGTCCACTATGTGTTATAACAGGCTAATGGTTTCCGCCAAAGTGGCGGTTTGCCTCTTAAAATGCAACGCCACCTTAGCTCCTATTTGGAGACTGTATTCGTATATGGGTGTGGCTCAAAAATAAACAGGAGGGGTTGCGCAGGTTTTGGCCTATGCTTCCACTTACCAGGAACCAGTTTGGTACCGGTTTTTGAGCCACAGCCATATTTGTCAACCAATGTCAACCAACCTGCTGGCTTCGAAAGAGTCCTCAAGGGCTGCGCCGAAGTCGATCTCGTCAGGGGATCCGAAGTATTGGTACTTGGGCAATGCCTGGCACTGGCTCGATGCGCGGTTGTGTGGTTCGATTCGTGGCGTTCCTCCCCAGACTTGGTTGACGTTGGAAGGGGAGCAAAAAAAAACAGCTAAGTGGGGATTTCCCACTAATCCACAATAAGCAAAAATGTAAAACGTTTCCCAAGCACAACCATGCAGAGGGGTGCAGGCCAGTTTGGGTGTTACCCTGATTGGATTGGGCTTTCCTAAGGGGTCACAAGGCCTCAGTAAGTGGGATTGTTCCCTTGAGTAAGCCGATTGAGGACGTACTAAGGCCATAGCGGGATGCCGCGCTTGGAACTCCCGCTTGTCAGGCCCTTTTCAAAATGCGCCAACTGATTCTAGTCACAACCCGCGTGATAGAGCGTCTCACATTGGCCATGCAAATGATGTTCACCAAAGGGTCCATGTCCAATTGAAGTTCATACCCAATCGAACGTCTCGGTTGAGCTGGTAAACGCGCACGGAGTATGGGTTGTGGATACCAATTAGCCACAACCGCGTTGTCGGAGGCTCTTTAGCTTTCAGGCGTAGCCCTGGGAAGTGTCGAATTCGGAACCTTCCAACTAGCAACAGCCCCGTGGTCGCCGTTGCGTCTACAATTTATGACACAATCCCGCGCCACTCAGTCAAAACTCCCAAGAAAGCCTCGTGAGCTTCAATCGAAACCCCCAAACCCGAATTCATTAATTACCCTGGACTGTATCCCTGGAACCTCCCTCCAGGTTGGCAACCAACAAGTTTGGCCTGAAATGGCAACCAAAATAAACATCTAGTC